ATTGTTTTTTTTAACAATTCCAATTTTTTACTTGCAAAAGAGCACAATATTTAAATTTTTATTGTTACAAAACAAACTTTTGGATACTTTATTGTTATTAAAATACACGAAATAAGAAATTATGTTAATTAACTAATAAAAAAATAATGCATTTTAGCAGAGTTACTACAACAATCCGTTACATTTTAATCAATTGAGATTACAAAACTTTGTGATAAGCCAAAACAGGGCTGAATCACTGATGTAAATCAGCCTTTATATCACCACAAAGTGACAAGCAAAATACTATAAAAATGTTATTTTTTTGAAAAAATTGTGCACAAAGTCCAATTTACTTACTATTGTCCACAAGGAAAACAACAAACAAATAATAAAATACTTCCGTGACATTTTGACATCCACATGAGTCACTTTTCGACTTTTATTCTTTTCGAAATCATTCGTTTTACACGCTTATGAACTGGACTCAAACAATAAATTACCACCACTGCGGATGGATAAACTTGAGACGATAAGATAAAACGGCAAAATCTGATAACTTTTTTAATCAATTTTTTGATAAAAATTGAACATTCAAGCATCCACAATACTGATTTTTCAATAATTATGTCATGTAGAATGTTAATAATGAAATGAATCATTAATTGCGTTATCACAAGTTTGTGATTGATTTTGACTTTGTACTAATTGTTCACTTTTTTGTGACTCATTRTTTGTTATTTATTTGTTAATTCTCACCAAAAGATACAATTTTTTAAATAAAAATCCCTTCGATTGCTTCGTATCTTACCCATGAATCATTATTTGTTAACAAACACTTCTGAAAATCTCATAGTTTTGATAAATAATTATCAAAATGTTAAGAAACATTGACAATAATATTCATCATACAAACAGGAAAAACATTGTAAACAATTTTCTTGTTTGCTTGGAGAAATTTTCTCACAACGCGTAAAAATAAATGAGTGAAATGGTGGAAATTATCTTTTTTTATTATCTCTAAATTGTAGTGAATACTAAAAGAAAATTTTACGCAAAATTATGAAAAAAAAACAAGGTTTCTGCGTAATCATAATTTTTTTCTAATAAACAGAATACAATAATTAGAGTAAAAATTTTAAAAGAATTAGGAAAAAAAAATAGCAAAAAACACTGAAATAGAATTTTCTCTTTCGAGATTTAAAAAA